GACAAAATAGCGCATAGTGACTCCTAAACCACGCATCAAAAACAAACCTGCACAGATCATATAAGCATAGTCTCACAAAATGAGTTGGTAGGGATGAGCTGAGCGGGGAGAAATAACCGCAATTACCACCAAATCGCGACCACCGACAGGTTTCGCCGCGAATGTGGCCCGTTATCTTCTCAAACCTCGAGCGGGGGATGGATGGGTGACCCTCATGCGCAAGACATCTGCGTTTGTTTGAATGTGTCTAGTGCGCGCCACAGCACGTCACAGCACTGTGATGCCACTCGATGCAGATAGCCTGACAGGGACGTCCTGGGCAAAATGGGTTGGCGGTGGGACTGAGCAGTTTAAATGTACGCGACCCACCTCACAAGTACGCCACCAAACGGTTTTCTTCCGCAGGTTGCCCGGTTTCTTCGCAAAGTTTGGGGGGCTGGGGTCCAGCTGTGAGTGTGTGTGCGGGGGGGGGGGGGGCTGGAGTGCTAGAAGGAAACTAAATCCATGCAACCTGTGGTCATTGCGTTATTGTGCGCGTACTCAGTACACATGGACATGGCCGGCGACTTAGAAGACAGAACGCAGGTGATTAATCTCCTGAACCTTTGCCCTGATCGGTGTCTTCACCGTATCTCCCGTCATCGTTCCCACTGTCCATGGCTTGGGGACAGTCCTGGCCTGCGACGGCTGATGCGGCAGTGCGATGAAGGGCACCGAGTATGGCGCCAATCTCAGGCTGAAACCGACCTGCCGGCTCACCGACGCCCTTGGGACCGCATGAAAGGCCACTGAAAGGTCGAGGCGTGGTCTCTCGTGTCATGCCATGCTCACCGATCATGCTGGCTTCTGGCGAAGAATGTGCACTTCACATCCCTTCGCTTTTCTGACGGCTAGGGAATGAGAGGGTGCCACTGAACACCTGTATAAAAGGGTGACAAATTTAACCGGCGTTCTGCTTCCGTTAGCCCGCGCATGGCTGCCGAACTGGCAGCGGACAGTCCTGGTTGTCGCTCTCCTCCATCTGGGCCACCGTGTGTGATCACTGTCAGTCAAGGCTGCGTCCTGCGACTTTGTCCGAACTATTGAGGGCTATGAGCGAACTGTCATCGTTCAGGGCGACGGATCTTGACGACATACCATTGCATGTCTTGCGCAAATGCTTCCCCGCTATCGGACCACATTCGCTGCATCTCATCAACGCCTCTGTCGCCTCTTGTGGTTTTCCTGGTTCCTGGAAGGTTGCCTCTGTTCTCCCTCTTCACAGATCTGACCCTCGCGACATCGCTAGTAATTTCGGACTTATATACATGTTGCCTGCACTGTCCAAATTATATGAAAAAGTAGTGCGCATGCAGCTATCGTCCCACCTCATTGCCCATGACCTGTAAGCTCCATCACAATACGCTTACAGACCTTGCCATTCAACAGACAGACAGAGGACGCCCTGGTCGACGCCGTTGAGTGTGCGGTACGTCGGATTGACGTTGGGCGCGTTGACGCCATCGCCTCCATTGATCTCAGCCGTGCCTTTGATAGTGTCGGCCATGGCGTCCCTCTGACAGAGCTGCACTGGTATGGCATTGATCCCAAGTGGTTTGAGAGTTTTCCTGCTGGTCGGCGGCAGGTGGTGAGAGGCGATCGTCTCCCCCTTCCGGTGGCGTGCCTCAGGGAACCTCGGTCGGCGCTATCCTCTTCAGCATCTTCACAAACGACCTTCCATCTTACCTCCCTCACGAACTCTAATGCTCTATGCCGACGACACCCAACTGCTAGGCTTGGCTCATCCAGACCAACCACACGTTTTGATATCTCGATGGGAAGAAACCATCTAAGTGGTTCAATCCTACTTCGCATCTAATTCCCTTTAAATGAATCTCACCAAAACAACCCTTCTTTTTGACACACCACAACCAGTGAAGAAAAGCTCATCTTTTGACCTTGACATTGCGTGACACAAATTAAGCCCTTGGCCGTCCGTTAAGTGTCGGGGGTTATCATTGAAAGTAACCTTTTCTGAGTGATGTGCATATTCCATGCTGTAAAAAGTGTAACTTCATCCTTTTCTGGTATGAATTTGTCACCGCCTTACGTTGCTACGCCGAAGTTCGTAAAGTTCTCATCCAGTTCCATGTTTTCCCCCATCTTCTACACCGCCTCTCAGTCTGGGGTGGAGCTGCAGCGTGTCACTTAACAGAGTACAAGGGGTGATAAGCTTTGGGGTCAGGATCGTCACCGATGCTCGTCGGCGACATTCAATGGCGGCGACTGTTCAAGCGCTGGGCTGGCACGTTGTTAATGACCTTGTCACTCACCGTGACGGCCCCGCTGTATTCAGGGTCCTTACTGACTCGCGAGATCCGGTGGTGACCCGGTTCTTGTTCACCCCACGTATCGCTGTGTGCCAGCGTGCTGCCCGGGTGGCAGTGGCGCCATTAATCTCCCAGCCCTTCGCCTGTCGCTGGCACGCAGGGCTTTTTCCTATCGCAAGGTCTCACCTTACCTGCCGCCTGTCGCCGACAATCACAGCCTCTCGCACCTGCAATGCGTTTCACACCAGGCCAGATAATTTTTAGATGGTCTCGTTGTTTGATCAATGCTTGCTTGCCATTGTGTAACATCTGTTCACGATTCATATCTTATTATTTTGTTGTTAATGAAGATGTGAGAATGACTAGATGGCTGATGAGCGAATGTCGTCACATTGTTGTCATATTTTGAAACTTACATTCACACTCCTTTTGCAGTTGCACCGAATCAAGCGACAAGCCACTTGTTGGGCATTTTAGTGAATGCAGTGAACTGAACTGAACTGATTCACCGCTTTTCCCAAAGCAGACCGATAGCTCGGGTCGATAAGACAACGCCCATCCCTTTGCCGATTACAAACTATGAAAGCCTAGCAAAACGCACTCGTGGATTGGTCTCAATGAGATCTCACAATTGGTGCTATTCTTGTCGTTTTTGTTCATATTTGACCCCATTGTGCCATTTCAGATTTTAAGTTTTCCTGTGCATCGAAATTTTTCATCTTTATGTTTGAAAATGTTACTCAGCTGGGATTTCGTGCAAGTAAACAATATATTTCAACCAGATTGACTGCATTCAACGGGAGCTTTCGGGATAACTTGGCCAGACAATGATGTTCGTGAAAACAGACTCGGACACGCATAAAGAAAATGAGAGCAACAAGAAACGGAGATATAAGCCATTCGGGCTTCTTGAAGCACGTTCTGGAAACATGCCATTGCATTACGAGGGAGGGTGGAAAAATTTTAGATTATGAGACAAACTGGAGAAAAAGAAAGGCTATGGGGGTATTTTGCATTTTCAAAACAGCTAGTGACCAACTTTTTCATGCGAAATCAGGGGTGCCGATAGCGAGTGCATGTCGAATCTTGGAATTACATGCCCAGAACATGACAAAGAGCTGTCGGCTCGGGACAATATGTGATACGGGGCACGTTAGCGGGCTTGCGGTTAGGCAATTCGTACGCGTTTGCGTTATATTGTTGTAGTGAGGCAATATGCCATAAGCGTGGCTATTGAATAAATTCCGAAATGTGGGATAACTATGCATATGTGTAAGAGGTATGCGGGGAGACGGTAAGTTGTCATGTGACATGACAACATTTAGAAGAAACGCACTGAAATCGCATACAAATTGCGAGTACTTTGCGTGTGCTCTTTGTCAACGACTTGCATTATTTATCAGCGGCTGAATTGTTAAATCGGTCATCTATTATTCTTTCGCTGCATTCGAGGGATGGGCATGCTAGATGGCACATGAGTCTTCAGGTTTTGCTCAAGGCGTGCCTAAATATGTTTTCATGAGTGTCATTGTCTGCCCAAGGCTGAAGAGCGGATATAGATTCCCCCGAGAGCTTCCGTTGAATACAGGCAAGCTGGTTGGAATCGATCTTGCTTACATTGTTCAGCTTTACATGTTCATACCCACCAGATCAGGTCCTGTGGCGGCACTAAACTTTGACGGGCGTGTTCCTTGTGCAGTGCGGAGTATAATGTGTAATTCTATGTGTTTTAGCACATATTTATGGTGTATGGCTCCATTGATGTAGCCGTGCAGGCCCGCCGTGTGCGGTCCGCGGGATCGTCGAATGCCGCCCGCCGCCCGCGCCAGCCGTGTATCGCCGCGGAATGTTCCACATGCAGGGTAACAGCAGAGGTAGGATATGTGGAGCGATGGCGACGACACTAGCCAGCGCTTAGCGGAAAGAGGAGGCGGGATGAAGTGCGAGAGCCGGGGTTCATGTCACTTGAGTAAGGATGGAAAGCATATCTCTCATCGATTCATTTTGACCAATTTCCTTTCGCCCATCCTCATTATGTGCTATGCTGAACTGTGCTGCCCTCCTCGTTTATGTCCTGTCTCGTCATGTCATATCCATTCTTGTCCTGGCTTGTCTGCTGTCCTATTCTCATGGTGGCGATGGTGTAGTGTTTAACGCGTCTGCGTTTACCATAGCATGTCTGGGAAACCAGAGGTGCGGGGCTCAATTTCCAGCGGTGCCCTCCCTTCCTGCCAGGGTGAGAGACAGGTGACGCTCTTATAGCCTCAGCAGCTGAGTGCGTCTTTAAGCCTCAATGAAGACTGCTGTTCTACCCTGTCATCTCCTGCTCTGTACTGTTATCTTGTCCTCTATCCTGTTCTACCTTATTCTCTCTCATCCCGCCCATCCTGATTTTAGCCTCTCTCATTCCATTCCGTTTTGATTATACGTCGACAACACCTACGTTTGCACGCATGCCACTTCCGTGTTAAAAAGGTATTATTATGCTTGCCAATTTTGTGCTCACAGCGGCATTTTCCTGGGAGCACGGTAGGTCGGTAGGTAGGTGGGCGAGTAGAGCACGGTAAGAGAACGTCTCTAATTTGGTAGCTTTGAAGCAGATTTTTACCCTGAAGTGGCGTTTTTCAGTCTACTAGAATAAATACTCGCGTGGGCGTTGAGACTGGCTGGTTGTTTTCTTGGGCTGGGGTCGCGAGGACGCGTGGTGTGTGGCCTGTGCGTGGTAATTGACGGTGAGAGGTTCAACGCATAGCAGCAAGAAGGATGCATGTCTGCTGGAGGCTGGGGTGATGTTTAGTCCTCCGTCATCGTAGTGACGTACACCCACCATCTCCAAACTCCGAGTTTGCAATGGCAAGTTGAGGACGCAAGTCACCAATTCGTTCAGGAGTAACAACATGGTGTGCAATGAAGACAGTTTCCAGAATGGTACTAAGTTCCCGAACAATGCCACTCACGTTGAAGTCAAACACCTGTCTCAGCTACTTCTTGAAGATGAAGAAAAGTTCGTTTTTAACAAGCAATACCTGAAAGGTCTTCTGGCTTCTTCAGCCCAGGCTTTGAGCCTGTTCACAGATTCAAAGCATCATGAAGAAAGAGATCATAATCCCATTCAAGGTGAGAAGCGTGTGCATACTTTAACAGAGATGCAGCAAATGTGCTGAAAACTATTCTAACAGGTTTCAGTTTGTGTTTTGAGCCATTTTAAAGCAGGTATGCATGTGACCATATTCTTACATGTTGTCATGGGAACTGCAGCATGCAAACACTCTTGGCCTATCATGGGGAGTGTTGATAACTTATCAGAAAAGGTGTGCAAACCATCTAATTTGTATAACACATACATTACAGCAGAAATCAGCCAAAACATTGTATGGACTGAAGTACTTACCATCACAACTGTACTGCACTATGTCTTCAATGACCATGCTTTGCTATATTTGTTAGAGCTTAGTTGTTTTACAGACTATTAGATTGATTATTAAAAGATATCTTTGTACATGAATTCAACCTATAAATAAATCAGTTATGATTGGTTAACTTAATACAACTAGCCAAGATTAGCACATTGCTACCCAATGCTACTTGGAAACATCATGTATTTTACATGTTAAACTTGACATGTGATTTAAATTGGTTTTGTAACATGACTAAGAAGTGCCTGACTGCCTTGCAGCTCAGCCCAGTCCGAACTAGTTTTATGCTCAGGAAGTTGATGCAATTTATACTATTTCAGATGATTTTGCCTGTTTTAGTGATCAATATGATTGATGGAGGATATGAAATTTTTGATATTGCTTTATTTCAGTACTATGAATAATTTGTTAACCAAGCAACTGTTTTCTGCTTTCTGTTGTGATGCATAAATAAACTGTACATAAACTGTTGCAATTTAATGCAATATAAAAGTAATCCAGTGCACTGATAGCTACATTGGTCCTGCCCTATAGTATTGATTTCATTGAGTTGTTTTATGGCTTGCATGCTGCATATGAAACCATCTTGTATCTACCTAATTACTAAGTCAGCTGTACTCATTGCAGCCATCACAGCACCTGCTGTTAGCTTTTCATGATAGCCTGGATACATTTTTGTTGGGAGCATAGTTGCTGTGGAGTTTATGAAAGCTGATAGTGATAAAGACATGTTTTCTACATGCCTCCAAATTTTTTAACTAGTAAATGCATAAATTATGTCATAAGGGTTTCATTAGCATGTGCAGTTTATGAACTCTGTAAACAAATGACTGCAAGCCAGATTGCACATGTGGCCAATCATTTAAACAAAATGCTGCACAGTATCAGCAGTGGCTGGTGATATGTAGGAAACACCATGATCACTATGAGGATGGTGGTCATGATCATTATGATTAAAAATGCAGTGACCACCATGCGTTGAAGTCCAGCCGGGGCTGTCTGCAGATGACCCAGTGTCAGCAGAGCTGTCTGCTGAGTTCGCCCAGCTGGATGAGGACTGCGCAGTGCTGCAGCAGCCCGTCTGCTTGGTGGTGCTGGGCGGCTCGAACGGAAGCGCGCGCGGCGGTGGTGGCGGCACTGCTTGGCGAGCCCCTGCTGTCGCTGGCCGCCGCTGCCGAGCGCCGCTGGCCGTCGCTTGTCATCCGCGGCGCCTGCGATGACTTCGCCGTGCTGAGGGAGGAGCGCGGTGGCGTGCGGCGGCAGCACGACCTGGTGGTGCAGCACACAGAGCGCGGCCGCCATACCGAGCCGCCGTGCCTGCGACACCTCGACCACCCCCTCTCGGTGGGTGCCCGCACGGCCGTCAGCTGGTGTCACATGAGACCCACCGCGGGCAGGAGCTGTCTGCTGTTGCCCGGCCATCTGTGCTGATTCAACTGAAATACTGCATTTTGTTCAAATAGCTGGTAGTCGCTGCACGTTTTACTTAATGCTGTAAGTGTCGCTAGAATAAGGGCTCACACCAGCCACTGGTCAGGGGCTCAACAAGTCACTGGTTGTCCCCTGACAGGACGAGTCTGAAGTGTGGGTGAACATAGGCCTGAACCACCCGCTGCTGAGGGGTGACCACGTGCGGCTGGTGGTGGCGCCGTCCGACCAGCCAGCCACGGTGCACAGACACCTGGAGGATGTGCTGCCAGTCTACCTGTACTGCACCTCTGGAGACTACCTCACTGCCCAGGTAGCGGTCGGAGACGTTGACGTCAGTCTGTATGCCTGTCTACCAATGTAAAGGATCCTCCGACCCACAGTGTATTCGCACAACAACCCTCGTGTGTGTTGTGTGTGGGCTGCCACTGCCAGTTTGGCGAGTAGCTCGGCACCATCGCTGTTAGAAGCCTATCCTGCACCTGCCCTGGTGGTCACTGTCCATCATTTTCTGTTTCACAAAACAGTCGCGGAGATAGCTGAGCTGCATTCAAGCGTGCCGAGTACATGTTATGGCGTGCCGATGCGAATGGTCGCCAGAGTCACCAGACCAGCTCTCATCCTGACCATCTTCCAGCCAGAGATGACCGTGGCTCAGCATCCTCTCCAGCGCCCACTGAGCTCCGTGCTGGTGTTCTCGGACGGCTGATGACCGGCCTCTGCTGCCGGCAGGAGCGGTCCGAGTTGGCCGACCTGCACCGCATCACCGGCGGCCAGTCCGTGTTCTTCTGGTGCCCGGCGCGCGACGACGAGCCGGCGCTGCCACCGCCGCGGCCGTGCCTGACGCTGCACTGGCCGCACCGGGCGCGGCCCAGCCGCCTGCCGCCGGCCGAGCGGCGCGGCGGCGGCGACACCGCCGACCGCGCCTGCCTGGCACGCTTCTGCCGCCCACCGCCCGGCCCCGCTCGTCCTCCAGCTGATAGCCGTCGGTGAGAGTCCGCTCTTGCAGCTGATAGCCTTCGGCGGATTGTGCCGAGCCTGACCGGGCGTCGCTGAGGCGGAGCCTCAACGTGCCACCGGCGGTCCGTGGTGCGGTCCGTGGCGGTCCGTGGTGCGGTCCGTGGCGGATCCGTGATGCGGTCCGCGGCAGTCCGTGATGTGGTCCGTGGTGGTCCGTGGTGTGGTCCGTGGCGGTCCGTAGCGCGGTCCGGGGTGCTCCGGGCCGGCTGGGAACTCATCTTCCCGCCGCCAGTGGAGTATCTTTCATGAGGTTTTCGTATAGAACACCTCAAATACGGTGAAGTGGTGTGCCGTTATTATATTTCTAGCGGATCGTTTTTTCGGAAGTTTGCCTTCATCGACTAAAACACGTGACAAAAGCTCCTGTACCTTTCTTTGTAAGCACCGGGGTGTGAGCGGCACAGTGACGTCACGGGCCGTTGATTGTTGCATTTGACGTGGACAGCTGCCATGGTGTGACGTGGTCCCGCGGCGGGCAGGGTACGAGTTCAGCGCGTGCCCGCCGGCGGTGTCCGGCCAGCCGGTGGACGAGCTGTGGCTGAGCTGCCAGCTGGCGACAGGGTCGGCCGGCCTGCTGGCGCTGGCGCCCTACCTGCGCACCTGGCTCCAGCTACGCCTGCTGCTCGCCGCGCACCGCATCAACAAGGTGAGCACCGGCGGCCGGCCGGCGCCAGCCACCCTCACTCGTGAGACGCGCGGCGCCGACACGGCGCCTGTGTAGCCCCCGTTACCAACACCATGCGTGCGTCAGCGGGCCGCTGGCAAAAAGGGCGGGGCCAACCGACATGTAATGGGTCCGAGAGGACACCCCCATTTTTCAGTTCGCGGAAAATTCTAAGCGAATTTAAAACAAAAATAGTATATTTTTTGCCCGGGCATTTTAGGATGACAACCAGCCACGGTTCGTCTTGACATGTGTTTGCTCGTGTGCGTGTGTTGTACCCATATCCCTGAATTACTTTCACGGGCATACGGGGTGGAAAAACGTCGTTCCACCACGTACATCTCTTTTTGGTAGATGCGCTCGCGTAAAATGATACTTGCAGACGGTGCTCACTATGTAGGCGTCCTGCAGGTTTGAATAATTCCAGCAAATGCTCAGAACGTTCAGACTGACCACAACCTGGAAACATTGCCGTTTTGAGCGTGTGTTGCAGCAGCGCGCGTGCTGCTGCGGGCACGTTCTCTACGGGCACGTGACATTCTCGTTAGCAGAGTAGCAACACCGTCTTGTCTTTGTTCTACCTCCGCTACTATCTGCCACACCTTGCCTGGAGCCGAGGTGGCGGTATGTAGAGGACCCAGTGGCGCTGGGGGCGAGCCTCGCCCGCTCAGTCTGTGCCGTGTGCTGTGTCACAACGCCACCTTCCACCGCCAGCCTTGCAGACTGAAGACGGCCACAGCTGCGCGACCGGCCGGCCGGACCACTCGGGCCAGCTGGTCGGCGGCTCGGTCCGGCTGAAACCCGCCGTGCTGTCGCTGTCCCCGTGGTTGTGCCTGATATTTATTCACGCGGAATGGGTGGCTGGGATCCCTGCTGTGTCGGGCCCCGTTGTGTCGGACCCTGCTGTGTCGGGCCCCGCTGTGTCGGTCTCCGCTGTGTCGAGGTTGTTTCGGACCCCCTGCGTCGGACCCCCGTGCGTCTGACCCCCCTGTGTCGGACCCCGCCGTGCCAGGCGCCACCATCTGAATGCCGGCCGTGTCCAGCCCCGCAATGCCTGTGCGACCGTCACCGCTGGCCGGGGCCGCCTGCAGGCGCTGAACCAGCTGCTGCGAGCCTTCATCCTGTCGGCGTTCGACATGGCACGCGAGATCCAGATCACACCGCGCCGGCTCCAGTACGCCCGCCAGAAGGAGACGGAGCTCTTCGACAATGTCATGAGCATCGCCGACAAGAACCAGCTGCAGATGTCCCAGCTGGTCAACCGCACCACGGCTAGCATGCGCGAGGAACTGCTGGCCCAGGCGGCCCTGCATCAGTTCAGAGGTGAGCAGCCGAGGCAGCAGCCGTGACCAGGCTGTCAGGATGTGTCAGAAAACAGGCGTACGAGCGTCATCGTCGGCGCATTGTCAGCAGCTGGGCGTGGGGAGCGGAGGTGGCGTTGGCCGGCGCTGTCAGGTGGCCGCCGGCCGGGCCGCACCGTCGCCGCTTCGCGGCCGCTGCGACCGCGCACCTGTGTCGCCGGCCCTTCGCCAGTGTGGCCATACGCGGCGGTGAGTCGACGCCGTCAGACAGGGCGGACCGGGCTGTAGCACCGGCGTCGGGCTGGGCCGTCGCACCGACGCCGGGCTGGGCTGTCGCACCGGCGTCGGCCTGGGCTGTCGCACCGGCGTCGGGCCGGGCTGTCGCACCGGCGTCGGCCTGGGCTGTCGCACCGGCGTCGGCCTGGGCTGTCGCACCGGCGTCGGGCCGGGCTGTCGCACCGGCGTCGGCCTGGGCTGTCGCACCGGCGTCGGGCCGGGCTGTCGCACCGGCGTCGGGCCGGGCCGTCGCACCGGCGTCGGGCCGGGCCGTCGCACCGGCGTCGGGCTGGGCCGTCGCACCGGCGTCGGGCTGGGCTGTCGCACCAACGCCGGGCTGGGCTGTCGGCCGCTGCGGTGTTGCCAGCCGCCCCCGGTCGATCTGGCTTGAGATAACGCACGTGCTGCGCTTTTTATCCTGCCCACGGCTGGCAAGGTCGGGCTGTGTTGAACCGGGCCCCCGCCCCAGGCCTGTGTCGCAGACGAGTTGCAAGAATGTGCAGCAAGTTTTGGGAAGGAGTTTTGCAGGCATGAACTTAACTTGCTATTCCTGGGATGTCTGTACTATTTTCGTATATAAACGCTTGGGCAGGGTCCGTGCAAAGCAGCTGGCGTAAAATGATGGCAACGGCCTAAAATCCACATCATGCCTACATGCTGCACGCATTGGGAAGCACGTGTTGCTAATGTATAGATAGCATTATTGGTAAGTAAAGTCAATGAGCGCCAAAGCCATTGCACACCAATGTAATCCATTAGCAATGTTCTGCAGCAGTTGTAGCAGACCTTGTTCACCAGACAACGGCCACCAGAGGTGAAGAGTTTTATGAGGTCACTGACAATCAGAACAGTGTGAAGATTCGGCCCTCTCGCGCCACACCGGTAGGAAAAAGGTGCGGCTCGGCCGCGCCTTTTTTGCCATTCCGGAAACGAATGGCCCTGCGACGACGTCAGCGCTAGCGAGCTGAAAAAAAACAGTTCATGTAAACAGAGCCAGACAAGCGCTGGAATGTGCAATGCCGAAGAGAGGCACTGGAACATACAGCGGAACATCTGAGAAGAGAGGGGGGGGGGGGGGGGCAGGGCAAAGCATCCATCCGGTGGGGTTACGATTGTTGGCCGTTTTGGCATTGTAGAATCTCTTGCTTGTTTGTCGTTTGATTTCGCAGCAAGATCAGACTCAGAGGCAGCTTCAAAGATGTAGAGCAAATGACAGCTTGCTCATACCCTAGGCCGCAGTGTGGCCGTCTGCTGCTGTCAGTTTGACCCACCCTATGGTGCCAGATCGCTCTACACCGTCGCATGGCATGGGCAGCTGGCGCCAGTGCCCGCGTGGGAACACTGATCAGGCGGCCAGAGTTGTCAGTATTGGTGAACTCCATACACGTATTGATCGCCCATCACGTGGGCACCCCGGTTATTTTTTTTGTTGTGTCCATTTATGGGAAAAGTGGAATATTTCATGCATCGTTGCCGTGAATAATTGTTGCTGTCGGGAGGTGACGTGAGTGACGAGGTGACGAAGTTCGGACTTTTCGTTGTTCCGGAGTGAGATGAGGTCGCTCGGTAGGCAACAACAACTAACACAGTGTGATTCCAAATCCTCGTCATCGTAGGTCGCATGCCGCAATTCCTATGATTGGGAAGATTAATTAGGACTTGGCTGGAGTCCATGGACGCCTCGGACGTACTCACGTGGCGGCGAGAGCGAGCGTATGGTCGATATGGCAAGCTAAGCCTTGTACAGTGTCGGTCCATCTGCGTAAGGCAGAACTCTCGACAAGCGGTCCCATTATGACTGAGCTCCACCGTAGTATGGCTGGGACGGTACATGCCGTGGCCACCTGACAGAATCCTTCCATCGTGACAGCAGCGATGCTAGAGACAACCTTCCGCGAATCGAGGACCGCTGGCCTGGTCGTGTCGGACATGCGCGACCAAAGCGCCGAGTCAGATGCACCTAGACGTGTGTTTGTGACTGGTCGTTCAGTTTATCCGGCTTCGGCGGACGTGAGCCGTCCGTGTCGGCCTTGGACACCGGGCGGCGCTGTCGAGGTTTGCTTCCCATGTTAGGGACGAGGCGCCGCTGAACGGCGGAGGTACGCCGCGTGCATGCCCCGCGTGTGTACGGCGCGGTGCAGCCTCGGCGGCTGGTAGCGGCACGAACGTCAACACTGGATGTCGACCCAAGCTTTCACGCTTCGAGCCATCCCGTGCATATCTTGAGGCGTTACACGAATGGTGACTTGGAGATCACTTTCTCTTTCGGGTCAAAGTTCAAGCCGAGACGGGGCCTACGGAGCATGGTATTGTGTCATCTCAAAACTTCTACGTCTTTCGCGTCTGGAAATAGGCCGCTATGAACGTGCTCTAATCCGCTCTCGTGCGTATTCTGCGGGATGTATTTGCGGATGCTGTGTCGCAGATCGCCATATATTTGCGGATGCTTTGGCGCGCATCACGATGCGCTTGCGGATGCTGCATTGTAGATCACGCTTAATGGGTTCGATATTCTTTAAAAAAACAACATCTGTCCAGTCACAGCAGGTGCACGGCCATAGACAGGTCCTTTTTACGACATGCTGTTCAGCCGGCCTTGCAGCAATGTTACGGATGATCGGGCTGCGATGCTCGAGAGAGGAACCTTCAACTTTGCCAGTTTTGAAAGCATGTAAAATAAGATCAGTTCCCACTGATAAAGCCGGGTTTGTTTAATTGTTGCAGAGCACAGAACGAATGCTTGGCGAAGAGAAAAACTTCATGTAGAGCCAGGAGAGGTGACGCAACTGTCCAAGTGCTTAGCAAAATGATTATAACTTCTTATGGCACCTTCAGTTACATTCGCGTGCGGATGGCTGGAATAAGACCTCACAAGTATTTGGGCTCCAGCTTCTGAACTAATTCAGCTACAGTCTTGAAACCCAGCTACTTTTGCAAAACATTCCTTTCGTATCGCGCTCTGTAAATGCCCGAAAGCTAGAGCAGTCAATGGTCACTTCAGGTTTTGACGTAGAGAGGCACATTCCAACCAGTGGCATGCATTTCCGTGGAGCGTATTGGGTGTAAATATATGGCATGCCTCGTGGCAGAAAAGTGCGTTTCTTTGTGGTGTGTTCAGTTTTTGGTAGCAAGCACGGAATGGAATTGGGATGACAGGGACTGGACTCAGGGGGCAAAGCGAAGAAATCGCCTTTGCTTCGGCCCGTTACAGCGGTACGGTTACAGCACAGGTCACTCTTTTTCATGCTATTCATATATCCATGGTTGCGAAAAGAGCCTTGAGCAGTTAGGAAATAAGACTTCCTGAAAATAAAGTTTTGTTGCGGTTATATTTTCTTTGCTGACATCGCTCACGCGTGGATTTTTTGGTGGTAGCCATCCAGGTAGATAAGACATGAATTCGTTTCAGACCAGTTGTGCCTGATCTGTTTTATTGGATTCTGGAATATGTGGCGATAGAAACCCTCTCTCCCTGTCCTCACTGAAATTCAAGAGCCCAAACAGTTACGCTCAGAACTAACAAGTCCTTCTGTAGCCACCCAAGGAAGGCGCAAGGCGCTGTAGTCTGTGCAGCTCTTTCCTGGGCGTGTGTTGGGGCTCAACACCAACACGCGAACGCCTTGGCTCTGTGCAGCTCTCTCCTGGGCGTGTGTTGGGGGCTCACAACCACACGCGAACGCCCTTGGCTCTGTGCAGCTCTCTCCTGGGGCGTGTGTTGGGGTCTCACACCACACGCGAACGCCTGTGGGTTCTGCGTAGCTCTCGCCTGGGCGTGTGTGGGCCTCACACCACACGCGAAACAAGCCCTTCGGTTCTGGCGGAGCTCATCTCCTGGGCGTGTGTTGGGGCTCACACCACACCGCGAACGCCTTGGCTCTGTGGCAGCTCTCTCCTGGGCGTGTGTTGGGCTCACACCACACGACGCGAACGCTTGGTTCTGCGTAGCTCTCTCCTGGGCGTGTGTTGGGGCTCACACCACACGCGAACGTCTTGGTTCTGCGTAGCTCTCTCCTGGGCGTGTGTTGGGGCTCACCCACACGCGAACGCCTTGGCTCTGTGTAGCTCTCTCCTGGGCGTGTGTTGGGGCTCACACCCACGCGAACGTCTTGGCTCTGTGCAGCTCTCTCCTGCGTGTGTTGGGGCTCACACCGCGCTCTTGGCCCGGCGTAGCTCTGTCTTTGGCGTGTTGGGGTTCACCGACACAATAAACCACTGGCTGTGTTTGCTCTCCGCTGGGCTATGCTGGGGTCCACACCACGTGCTCCGTTAGTTTCGCTCTCCGATAATGGCGAAATTTGTGGTAGTTCCGTTCGCTGGGACGCCCATCAAGCCAAATGTACGACCTGTCGGTTTTCGCGGCCCTGGTGACGCACGCGGCCCGGGCGGGCGACGCTCCTCCGTGACATGTCCGCCCCGTCATTGATCTGCATCTGATTCACGCTATCGATCCGCGACGAAGGTCACTGCCGTGCGGGTAATCTCTGCCAGAGCGTGGTGATGAAACCGCCGACAATCGGCTGCAGGCGCGGCGATGCGCGCCGACCCGTGAGGTCCCCGCAACCCGCCGATGGGCGACGGCGCGATCTCGGTGGCGCATCAGTGCAAGTCGCGACCTAAGCTTGTCTTGACACGCATACACACACACACACACACACCACACACGCACGCACGCACGCACGCACGCACGCACGCACGCACGCACGCACGCACGCACGCACGCACGCACGCACGCACGCACGCACGCACGCAAAGAAGAACAGGGAGACGCCGTCGCCATGCGACTGACATGACGTGATTTCGTGCTCTTGCTGTGAGTCAATGGTGTACTGCCGTCTGTCTTTGTTACTGCTTTGGTGTGCGGTGGATCCTCAGCGAGAAGTGTCCAGTGCCTGTTTACATGTTACTTCTTCCTGGTAGTTTCGTTGTGGGTCGGTGTGTGTTGGGACCGCCGCTGTCGTACAGGTGTGGAGGTGTCGGAGAGTGGCGAGGTCCGCTGTGTTGTGGGTCGGTGTGTTGAGACCGCCGCTGTCGGACAGATGTGGAGGTGTCGGAGAGTGGAGAGGTCCGCTGTGCTGAGACCGCCGCTGTCGGACAGATGTGGAGGTGTCGGAGAGTGGAGAGGTCCGCTGTGTTGTGGGTCGGTGTGTTGAGACCGCCGCTGTCGGACAGATGTGGAGGTGTCGGAGAGTGGCGAGGTCCGCTCGGCGCGGCAGCTGCAGCAGTGCACGGCCGAGATCCAGAACCTGCTGCTGGGCGCGCTGAACCGGGCCGTGGCCGGCCAGCTGGTCGGCAGCGTGGACTACATGCAGGAGCGGTTCGTGGGCACGCTGCAGCGCTGCCTGCTCTCGCTGGAGGCGCACGACGACGGCAGCGCCGGCGCCAGCAACGCCCTCAAACAGGTGAGCGGCCGGCGCCAGGAGGCGACCAGGCGGCGAACTGCCACCGGTGCGACTGCGGCTGGTCAGTGAGACAGGCGGTTACGCCGAGCGTGGATGACTTCTATGTCGGCAATGCCGGTTTATGCGCTGGTGTATGGGTACCATCGAGTGACAGCCTTGGCAAATGCTGCGCGGACCGTTTTGCCGGGCTGATATTGCAATGCATTTACAACAGCTGCCGGTATCCCAGTCTGTAGTGTTTTGCTCAATCGTCCATTGCGGTGCGTGCGTCGACATGACGCGCGGGTGGGACGGACGGTCCGCCACCCGACTGCGCATCCAGAGCCTTGTCCTGTGACCTCCGGCCTTCGGGCGCCGACTCCTGCGCGCTTCCCGGCAGATCCTGAACTCGGCCTACAGCCTGGAGCTGTCGGTGCAGACGTCATCGAGCGTCATCACGTCTCTGTGGGAGCGGCTGAAGCAGCTGCTGGATGTGATGCCCTGGAAGACGCCGCCCTGCGTGGACGCCCTCTGGCGGCGGCGTGTTGCCACCGAGATGCTGGACAATATCAACGAGCTGCGCCTCAGTCGGATCATCTGCTCCCAGGTGGGCGGAGACCGCCCCGACAGATTACTGACTGCTCCCAGGTGGACCGAGAGCGCGCCGACAGGCCACTGACTGCTCTCGGGTGGGCCGAGACCGCGCCGACAGACCACTGACCGCTCCCACGTGGGCCGAGACCGCGCCGACAGACCACTGACTGCCTCCAGGTGGGCCGAGACCGCGCCGACAGACCACTGACCGCTCCCAGGTGGGCCGAGACCGCGCCAACAGACCAATGACTGCTCCCAGGTGGGCCGAGACCGTGCCAACAGACCACTGACCGCTCCCAGGTGAGTCAGGACCACGCCGACAGACCACTGACTGCTCCCAGGTGAGTCAGTACCACGCCGACAGACCACTGACTGCTCCCAGGTGGGCCCAGACCGCGCTGACAGACCACTGACCGCTCCCAGGTGGTCCGAGACCGCGCCGACAAACCGCTGACTGCTCCCAGGTGGGCCGAGACCGCGCTGACAGACCACTGACCGCTCCCAGGTGGGCCGAGACCGCGCCGACATACCACTGACTGCTCTCTGGTGGGCTGGGACCGTGTCAACAGACCGCTGGCTGCTCCTAGGTGGGCCGGCACCGCGCCGCCAGTTGACCGCCGCCCACTGCTCCCAGCCGCCCGCACTGGCAATGGATTGTCGTGCAACATTACGTAAAAACGTTGGTGCTTACAAGCCAGAAAAGCTAAAAACACATTTTCGTGTAGAAATACGCACAATGAATGCCTCTCAGATTACTGGAATTTTAGGCCGATTACATGAATTCATAGAATTAAGAGGATGATTTCTTAAAACTGCATAGTAAAGAAATGACCGCGAAATTTGATATTATGTCACAAACATCCACCCCAGCCTAACAAACTCTGTTGTGTTGTCACTGCTGACGCTGTGCCTCACTGGTTATACTGGCGGTGGTCGAGGCGGGTGGTGCCGGGGGACTGACGATCACACCGGTAATTCACAGAGCGTCCACAGTCGTCCACATTCACGTAGCGTCCACAGTCGTCCACATTCACGGAGCGTCCATAGTCGTCCACATTCACGGAGCGTCCAGTTCGTCCACATTCACGGAGCGTCCACGTCGTCAACATTCACGGAGCGTCCACAGTCCAATTCACGGAGCGTCCACAGTCGTCCCATCCACGGAGCGTCCACAGTCGTCCACATTTACGGGCGTTCACAGTCGTCCACATTCACGAGCGTCCACAGTCGTAACATTCACGAGCGTCCGCAGTCGTCCACATTCACGGAACGTCCACAGTCGTCCACATTCACGGAGCGTCCACGTCGTCCACATTCACGGAGCGTCCACAGTCGTCCACATTCACGGAGCGTCCACGTTCGTCCACATTCACGGAGCGTCCACAGTCGTCCACATTCACGGAGCGTCCACAGTCGTCCACATTCACGGAGCGTCCACAGTCGTCCACATTCACGGAGCGTCCACAGTCGTCCACATTCACGGAGCGTCCAGTCGTCCACATTCACGGAGCGTCCACAGTCGTCCACATTCACGGAGCGTCCACGTCGTCCACATTCACGGAGCGTCCACAGTCCACATTCACGGAGCGTCCACGTTCGTCCACATTACGGAGCGTCCACAGTCGTCCACATCTACGGAGCGTCCACAGTCGTCCACATTCAGGAGCGTCCACAGTCGTCCACATTCACGGAGCGTCCACAGTCGTCCACATTCACGGAGCGTCCACATTCGTCCACATTCACGGAGCGTTCACAGTCGTCCACATTCACGGAGCGTCCAGTCGTCCACATTCACGGAGCGTCCACAGTCGTCCACATTCACGGAGCGTCACAGTCGTCCACATTCACGGAGCGTCCAGTCGTCCACATTCACGGAGCGTCCACAGTCGTCCACATTCACGGAGCGTTCCATTCGTCCACATTCACGGAGCGTCCACGTCGTCCACATTACGGAGCGTCCACAGTCGTCCACATTCGCGGAGCGTCCACAGTCGTCCACATTCACGGAGCGTCCACAGTCGTCCACATTCACGGAGCGTCCACAGTCGTCCACATTCACGGAGCGTCCATAGTCGTCCACATTCACGGAGCGTCCCAGGGATCCACAGTCGGGCCGCTTTTCTTCACCCTATTCCCAGTCACCTGTCACATGGACGCCTCATCTCATCTCACATGCACATGACATTCAGCTGCTAGACCACAGTAGTCTTGACGCACCAAAACGTCGTCTGGGAATGTCAGGCTGTGAACTCCAGGCGTGGTTCAACGCAAACTTGGCTGGACATGACCAAGGACATAAACGACGTTGCCTGATAGGTTCAAAATATGATTAAATGAAAACCCGTGATTTTCACTTATGAGACGGAGGGGCCGTATTACCTGCACGGCGCGTCCAAGTTCTCGGTGCAGTAGTAGACTTGACGCTTTCGTGGGAGAAGCATGTCGCCAAAGGTGAACAAAAATGCAACTAAATTCGAATCTCGCTGTTCAGGTATTACTTTACGCCTCATGATCTCATAATGTTTATCGACTCCTACGTTTTCCACATAGCTCACTGTCTGTACGTATGGGGCTGCACTCAAGTGCCGAGTGAAGAGGATTCAGAAAGTTGTAAACTTTTTCCTCCACGACTATAGGGCGTGAAACACAACCAGCATATACTGCCATCTAAGCTGGTCTTTTATTGATGACTTGGTGAAAGACAGGAATGTGTTAAAAGCATTAGAAGTGCTAAGATAAAAAGAATCGTCCCCGGCTAATGCTAGGTCATTGCCTTAGCCCATGCCCATGCTAGTCATCTATGTGATTGTACGCCAGATGTATGTACGTGGACAATTTTTGCATGTGGGCAATCTTTGCATGCCGCTGTGTTGCGTGCAGTGCTTACCGTGCTGCGTACCTGGCACTCACCGACGCCGGCCGCTTCGGCAGCTGCGCGAGCGGCTCCGCTGCGCTCACGAGGCGTTCGTGCACTCGATCGGCCGCCTGGAGGCGCAGCTGGCCGGCCAGCTGGAGCAGACCGAGCGCGACCGGCTGCGCATGAAGAAGCAGCACGCGCCGCACGTGGCGCGCCTGGCCCTGCAGGCGGCCGCGTACGTCGACTCCGCGCGCTTCGGTAAGTGGGCGCTGGCGCGTGTGGAGGTAACGGATCCAGTGCTGTGTCTATATATCCGTGTAGGTGTATTTCGTATTATTTTTCTTTTTCCGAGGGCTTGGAAAACACGGAGGTTTATGGGCATTTGAAAAATCTAATTTGCTAGTAGTGGATTCATGTACCTTGAATTCTATCATACAGACAGGGGATGCAAGAGGTTTGGCTTTAGGTTCATGTGATGTGGTCCAAGTGGTGCCCGACAAAACCAGGATGACTCGGACAGCGCGGATTGACGAGGAGCGCGCGCACGCCTCTGGACGTCACGTCCAGCAGCCTGCGCGCGCCGCCGACCCGTGCTGGCGAGGTGGCGGCGCGGCTGGGGCTCTGACGGCGCCGGCGCCCGGCGCTCAGGTGTGCCGCAGCTGTCGGCCGAGATCGGGCGCGGCCAGTACGGCGTGGTGTACAGCAGCAGTGCCTGGGCTGGCCGCCGAGACTGGGCCGTCAAGTCGGTCATCCCTCCCGACGAACGGCACTGGAACGACCTCTCCATGGAGTACTTCTACACACGGTGGGTGGGCGCGTGGAAACAGGGCTGGACCCCAGAACGGGGGGTTTCCAGTGTGAGGCTCGCTACTGACCGTCTTCTGCGACGATTCGAGGAGATAGTGAGTCGAAGTCGAGGGGCTAACGTGACCCGAACACGTCTGGATAGACTGGGTAGGATAGACACGGACGTCTTGAAATGCTCGAACGATCATGAAGGCTGCCTGGTGACGTTGCTTGCTGTGGATTTGCGAAGCGAAGCAGTCTGGATGTATTTGCCAGCTTGTGGTGAAGTACCGACGTCACAGGACCCAGGTGGTGTTCTTAGAGGTGATGGGGCCTCACTGCCTCAGCTTCCTCGTGACAGTAGCAGTTCACACGAAGTTAAACGTGCACGAAAATGTGAACATGCTGATAGCGGACCGGCGAGAACAAACGACGGCGCCTCAAGCGCCTGTGGTAACGTGAGTTGCGGAAGCCAAAAACGTGTCCGCTTGTAGCGCTAGCGACCATTTCTTTTCATGGCGTCTGTCAGGGGCATGCTATGTTTTGAGTTATGCGAAGCCTCACGTCTGTGTTTGTAAGTTGCTGCGTGTCTTATTGCCTTCGATCGTCTCTTTCATACTGCGCTTTCGTACCGCCCCTCGTGTGCTATGGTGGAGTCCGTGTTTAATTTGTGCGTGTTTCTATGTGTTACGATCATGTCTACCATGACTGCTGTGGCCCATAGGGCTGTGTCCGTGACACGCGCTATGACTTAAGAGACTCGCACTGCGACACTGCGGCGCTGGCCGTGACAGCTGCGCGACGGACTATGGGCAGCTACTGACTGGCAGCGTCTGCCGACTGCGCTGTCTGCTCTGATTCGTCGGCTTTCGTTCCATACGCTGTGACTGCTACATAGCGAGGCGTAATGTGATTGTCCTGGCATAGACTCAGTGCTGTGAGTCACATCATGCCAGTGAATCCCATGATTGTTGTGATGCCACTGATTGTCATGATTTATGCGACGGGGGTACCGATAGTGCAGTGGTTAAACTGCGCCTGTGGAGAACCAGACGTACGGGGTTCGATTCCCCGCGGTATCCTCCCTTCCCGCCAGGATGCGAGGCAGGTGACGCCGTGTAGCCTCAGCAGCTGGGCGCGTCGTAAAGCCCCAGTGACTCGGCTCGTGCGACGATGACGCGGCCGCGCCGCGCCGCCAGGTCGCTGCCGGAGCATGAGCGGGTGGTGAGCATCCGCGGCATCGTGATTGACTACAACTACAGCCACAGCCGGCTGTCAGCCGCCCTGCTGCTGATGGAGCGCATGCACAGTGACCTGTACCTGGCCATCCAGGACGGCCTCGACCTGCGCACCCGGCTCAAGGTCAGCTGACCAGTCGGCCCGCGCTGCCGGACCTGCTCCGCCTCGACGCGGACTCGTCCTCGACCTGTCCAGTGCCTGCCCGGGTCAAGGCCAGTGTTGACCGCTTGGGTGAAAAGGCCGCTCGCAACCAGACTCACATCGACCTGCCTTGCGATGTTTGTGTGAGGGATATGGCGCGTCAGATTCGCATCATGAAGTGTAATTATTGTGTTGTGACTCAGTATTATGATCCGTTCCCAGGTTGCCATGGACGTGGCTCAGGGCGCTCGGTTCCTGCACTCCCAAGGGCTCATTCACAGGGACATCAAGCTGAAAAATGTGCTGGTAAGGCCTCTGGTCGGCACAGACAACCTTGGCAGGGTGACACGCAGCCGTCATTACAGATGCTGGCGACAGCATCTGTGGTTGTACCCTCTGAACGTGTAGTATCAAAACGCCAAGTTGTAAAGCTACATCTGTGAACTAAATTTCTGGTTTTTCTGTTCTGTTTTACAATGTAAGATATTGGCAAGTATCTACAGTCCGCAATAGATATTTTGACATCCTGTCTCCGCCCAATTGCACTGAAATGATCCCATGCGAGGCATATCGCACCAAAGCAGGTGTGTGGGATTCTTTTTGGTATGCCTCGTGCTTGACAGAATATCAAGCGATTGCGTACATACTTGGTTGCGCTTATCACTGTGTGAGTTTGTGTTTTTAATTCCGTCCCCCTCCTTTGTTTTAGTGTTTGTTATCGCCTTTTGCCTCGTAGGCGGGACCGTCAGGGCTGGCACGCCGACGCCAGTGTCAGGGCTGCAGAACGGTGACAGCCAGCTGCCGTTTTCAGTTGGACGACGCGAACCGCGGCAAGCTGTCGGACCTGGGCTTCTGCAAGCCAGAGGCCATGATCTCAGGCTCGGTGGTGGGCACGCCGATCCACATGGCGCCGGAGCTGTTCAGGTGAGAGCGGCCACCGCCCGGCTGCGTGCGCCGATCCACATGGCGCCGGAGCTGTTCAGGTGAGAGCGGCCACCGCCCGGCTGCGCACGCCGATGCACATGGCGCCGGAGCTGTTCAGGTGGGAGCGGTCACCGCCGGGCTGCGTGCGCCGATCCACATGGCGCCGGAGCTGTTCGGGTGAGAGCGGCCACCGCCCGGCTGCGCGCGCCGATCCACATGGCGCCGGAGCTGTTCGGGTGAGAGCGGCCACCGCCTGGCTGCGTGCGCCGGCGGCGGTGCCCGCCGCCGAGACGGCCTCAGAGACGGTTGGCAGCCAGTCCGGTCCACGTCAGTCAGACCAGTCCACGTTTGGCATGCGGGACTCAGCTCGACGTAGGCCATTTGTATTCATGTGCTCGTCTCAGTCGACTCTTGTTGAGTTTTCGAGCGGCAGACGCGTCGGATGTCCACTGCGAAACCCCATGGGTGCTCGTACACCGGTCTACGATGCTGGACCGTGCGTACTGCACTTGACCCATGTACACCACAAGTCCATGTACACCCGTCATCCTCTGGTGTTCGCGCCGCAGCCCCGCTTCTGGTCAGCCCTGCCTCCCACTGGCTGTTCGAATGCTGACCGGCCCTTGACCCTTGTCCGCCCCCGCGCCTGACCTGCCCCGCCTCTGACGTACCCGGTTTCTGACCTACCCGGTCTCTGACTGACTCGTCTTTTTACCTGCCCCACATCTCTCCGTCCCCGCCTCTTGACTGAACCCCCTTCTGAGCTGCCCACATCTGCCCAACTCTGTTTTCTGACTGGCCCTCTTCTGACCTGTCCAATGTTTGCCTGGCACCGCCTTCTGCGGACCCCTTCTCTGACCGCTCCCTGATCTCTGGCAGTGGCAAATACGACAACAGCGTGGACGTGTACGCATTTGGCGTGCTGCTCTGGTACATCCTCTCTGACGACGTGCGGATGCCGGCCGTCTACGAGCAGTGCGACAACAAGAATGACTTGTGGAAGTGCGTCAAGCGAGGTGAGCACGCCCAGAAACAGCGACGGCGCCGAGGCATCATGGCGCTACGCCTGGTGTCGCAGCCATGCTACGGGGCAGACCATAACTGGTCGTGGAGACCATTTTACACCGGCCCAGGTGGCCAGTTGAGTACCCTTCGCTCGGGCGGGGGTCAGTTTGGCCCCCCTGAGATCTAAAAAGCAAGCGAGCTGGAGACACCGAATTCACAGGGTGTGTTGACCTGTATTAGAGCTCACTTGTGTCAAAGTTTGAAATTTCTAGGTCATGAACCTCGGGTAACATAAGGTCGGACAAGATCGAACCTCAGAATGGTGTCCATAGTGCCTCCAAATCGTCTCATGCAACCGCCGCGAATCGAACCTGTTCTAAGCAAAAGGTCACTGGTGCTTATGTTAGGTTGGTAAACTTGTTTGATCTTAAGGTTGAAGTGGCCAAAGTCATACAAGACTGTTTTTTGCATTTGAGCAAGTATCAAAGAATACGCTTAGCGACATGTTCCTGAAAACGAAATGTTGACCTGCGTTATTTAAGATCATCGATATGTTTGGCCTTTAAGAAATCCATGGAAAATATGTGATGCGGTCCCTGTTATAGTTAAAAAACAGGTTGGCTTTGATCTTGGTCTGACCTTCGTACCTGACCCTAGGTGAATTGAATTTCATCGCTTCAATTGTTCTGTTGCTTAAAAAGCGATCTCAGAGATGTATGGCTTCGTGTAACGCTTTGTTGTCGCAACATATTGAACGATTTCCTTGAAATTGCTCCGGTTGAATCCATGACCTGACTTCATAGGGCAGTGACCTTACAAGGTGCATCTGAATTTTTGGTACCAAAAGATCTGTCATTCAAATGTCTACAGCTATTCCAAATTTGGCGCGGCTATGCCGCAGCGTTCGGAAATCATCCCGAAAAACCTTGGGGTGGTCAGATCGACCCCCGCCCGAGGGTGTATTAAGATGATGGGTTGCTCGCCGACGGGAGTGCAAGCCGTCTGCCGCGTCATGGCCTGTCTTCAACCCAATCCTATAACAGCCTTAGCAGCCCGAACAACTTGCTTTGGCGGTGCATGTGCCGTTGTCCGCATGTCCAATACTACCCACACCACCGCATGCCCCTCCTTGTGGCGCGGATGAAGGGTGCACGGGGTGTCGGTAGTGTAGTGGTTAACGCGTCTGCGTTAACCACTGCGCGTCTCGAAAACCAGAGGTTCGGGACTCGATTCCCCGCGGTGCCCGCCCTTCCTGCCAGGGTGATAGGCAGGCGACGCCATATAGCCCTAGCAGCTGAGTGTGTCGCAAACGCCCAGCGGCACACACAAGGGTGTAAAGAAAGCCGGTGTCCTGTTATGTGGCAAAGTGTTGAGCGCAGTCTCGTGTTCCTCCGTGCGAGGCGCGATTGCGTGCGTATTAAACCGCGTGCCACCCCCGTCTCAGCGAGTGAGGCAGGCGGGCGAGGGGTCATGCCCCTACCTGAGGCCGGCCAGTCTCCATGACCAACCATCAGCGACTTCTGGCTCGTGTCGAACTGCTGTCTCAGACGGCGACACGGGCGGGTTGTTCGTGACCTGTCTCGGGGACGGTGTGCGTGTGCGACCCCGTCTGGATGTGTGTTGTGTGTGTGCCGGCAGGCGTGCGTCCGTGCCGGCCGCGCAGCTGCAGTGACCTGGGCTGGGAGCTGACCCAGGCCTGCTGGCGCGGCGACCCCCGCCAGCGGCCCCTGTTTGGCGTGGTCGAGCTCCAGCTGCACCAGATGCTGGACCAGCTGCGGGAGACGCCTGCCGCGCCCGCCCTAGGTACGCCCCCCCCCCCCCCCGCCCCGCCCCCTTCTGCTAGTCAGCAGGCTGCTGCCGGTATCCTGCACTGCTTTGAGGCCTAGTTGTGGTTGTTTCCAGCATGTCAAGATTGTTCGGCAGTTCGAGGTCACTCGAAGTATTGTGATGCAGCTCATGTTCATATGCTGTGATACATTCAATTGAGTGTCTTGTACGCGTGTATCTGTGCCCTGCATTGACTGGGATTGAAATTACATGCTTTACAGTTCACAAGTTCACAGCACGTCTCAGAATGCTTTGCGTCCTATTCAAGGCATGCTGTCGTGTCAGTGGCATCGCCGGACGTTCTGAGCGGCAGTGCTAAGGGCGATGATGGTGTCCGTGGTGAGGGCTGTGATGACGGCTGTGGGGAGGGCGGTGATGACGGCCGTGGTGAGGGCTGTGATGACGGCCGTGGGTAGGGCGGTGATGACGGCCGTGGTGAGTGGTGAGGGCCATGATGACGGCCGTCTACCGTACCCAAGGACCAGTGGCTGCGCCTGACTCTGCCTGCGCTCTCTCCGTCCGTTTACAGAGGCCGGCGCCGTGATCCCCTGCTGGTCGTGAGCGGCCGGCGCCGTGATCCTCTGCTGGTCGTGAGCGGCCGGCGGCGGCTCCAACGCCTCCCCTTCGCTCTCTCTCCCTTCCATACCTGGCTGTGATTGCGCCGCACCGCGGCAGACTGCGTGGACGCGCGCCATCGGTAGCACCACTCGGTGCCTTCCGGCTTTTAGCGGGTGTAGCGGTTTTTATTGGGCTCGTGTGAGGTCAGATGAGGTGGCGTGCGCACATCGCCCGCCGCCACTCTGCGCAGAACATTGCAGACGTGGCGTCACATTTACGCTGGCTTGTGTGGCCGCCGGAACGCGCCGCCTCTTGTGGCTGCTATGGCCGAGCGAAACCCGGGACTTGTGCTCCTCGCGCACGTCATGGGCCGGTCCCGCGTGACGGGGCTGAAGGGTGCAACGGTGTCGATACGACGGTCACATTTAATATTTCTCAGTCGGGCTGGAGCTGGTTTGCATTTAGGTCGTGGCCAGGCCAGTGGTGTGCCTCTGTCTTTTTGTTGGACTGCGTTGCATAGTCTGCACTCGTTCCCAGTAGTACTTAGATGGCGTTCGGCGTGAATGAGGCCCATGGTTATTTCTTTGAAAGGTTAAGATCTTTTCGTCGCATGGGGGAGATCGCGGCAAGTGTCCCAAGTTGCGGACCGTGCACTTAGTCATGCGGCGCTCGTTACGTGCATTTTTATGTTTGCTCGCCTTCTGCTGTACTGGAGTGCTCCTTTACATACTTTGGCCGGCACCGGCTCTGCGACCACCTGATCACAAGCTCGCGGGCGCCCCCGCAATGGGTGGTGAGGCGGCGTGCTTTACACGCGGCAGAGGTATCAAGGTAGACGGTGTTTAGCGTGTGAGTGTTCTGTGAACCGGCCCCGCGGTCCCGCCCACGGAGGTAGATAGGTCTCAATGCAATTCTGTGTCCATGCACGTAAACTATGCCCACTTTCATCTCGATCGCCATAATATAATGAAGCTTGTTCGTCAGCGACGCGCTGGTCTATCAGCCTGGCGTTGTTTTCACCAGGCCCTGTTGGATATTTTATACTGGCTTGAAAGCTGTGTATTTTTCTGTCAGATTGCAAATGTGAGTTAGTGCAGAATATAACGCCCTTGTAGCTGTGTGTTGTTTAGCCCGCCGGCACGTGCACCAGTGGTTGTGTGGTTCCTGGATCTTGGTGCGTTGCGCGGACCGGCCACAGGGCGCGCTTCAGCGCCAGCAGGCGCTGTGTGCCGCGGTCCGACGCAGAGCCAACCGTCGGCCGAGCTCGCGCTCCGCAAGCAGGGTGGCAGGGAACACGTAGGCCTCGTCCGATGCAGAGCCAGCCGTCGGCCGAGCTCGCGCTCCGCAGCAGGGTGGCAGGGGACATGTGGCCTTGTCCGATGCAGAGACAGCCGCCGGCCGAGCTCGCGCTCCGCAGCAGGGTGGCAGGGGACATGTGATCTTGTCTGACACACAGTCGGCCGAGCTAGCGCTCCGCAGTAGGGTGGCAGGGGACGTGTGGCCTTATCCGACACAGAGCCAGCCGTCGGCCGAGCTCGCGCCCCGCAGCAGGGTGGCAGGGGACATGTGGCCTTGTCCGACGCAGAGCCAACCGTCGGCCGAGTTCGCGCTCCGCGGCAGGGTGGCAGGGGACATGTGGCCTTGTCCGACGCAGACAGCGGTCGGCCGAGCTTGCGCTCCGCAGCAGGGTGGCAGGGGACATGTGACCTTGTTGACACACAGTCGGCCGAGCTCGCGCTCCGCAGCAGGGTGGCAGCGGACGTGTGGCCTTATCCGACGCAGAGCCAGCCGTCGGCCGAGCTCGCGCTCCGCAACAGGGTGGCAGGGAACATGTGGCCTCGTCCGATGCAGAGCCAGCCGTCGGCCGAGCTCGCGCTCCGTACCAGGTTGGCAGCGGATATGTGACCTTGTCTGACGCGGTCAGCCTCGGCCGAGCCCTCGCTCCGCGGCAGGACGGCAGGGGACATGCGGCCTTGTCGGACGGCTCCGTTTCTCGTCGCGTCTTGCTAGCGATGCTCCCATGCCCGTATTCGCCAGGGGTCGGGCCTACTGCCCCACTGACCATGGGTCAGGCAGTACGCGGCTTAAAGCCGGGCCTATGTGGCTGGCAAGCTTACAGGCTCCGAAATGGTTCGAGCTCTGGATGATACCTAGGCAAGGGCCACGGGCTTACATCAATCACAGGCACCGGACATGCCCCAGCCATACATCATACTAAGGCAAGACAGCCAGGCTCTACATTAAAATGGAGGGGGTCCGCCGTCCAATATGTCTAGCAAGCGACTATTGGCTCCCAAGAAACGTAGGCCGTCCCAGCGTAATTTGGGCAATTGTTTCATAGCAGATTCACAGCGAACATGGCCGTTCCAGCTTGGATAACAGCTGCTATATTCCAGCAGACGTTCGGACGATTATCTGCATCAGCTACCGGACCGTGTCGGGACACCATACCACGTGAATAAAAGGGCTTTTCCTACTGCTGGAGCTCGGCTGGCTTCATGGCCTGCATTCACTAGGTCACCAGCGTCGGCCGACGTCAGCGCGTTAGTGGGGTCCATTGCAAAGCGTTGCCTTTTCACCTCTGTATTCGTCTCCCGTGTAGGCCACTATACATATATACATACAACAGACCATCGACAAGCATCTACTGTTTCTTGGGCGGCACCCAGGCCTGAATCTTGGGTTTGGTGGTGGTGTAAGGGTAGTACGCGTCCGTCGATCCCGACGGATTCGCCTCGTGGTTCAACATCCACGGATGGCTGACGGGCGGCTTCTGCGGCAGAGCGAGACCGTGCCGTTAAACGTCGCATCACAAGCTCATGTCACGACAGGGCAGGACGAGCTGATATGACAACAGAGCAGGACCACAGACTGGGCACAGTACAGGGCACGGCCAGGCCGCCATGGGCTGACGCCAGTGCAGTGACGCTAACGACTGAACCTCAGACGCGAAAATCACTGCGAAAATAGGCCGGTTCGGGCCGCTGGATACAGTCGGACCAACGCAGACGGCGAACAGACACGCGGGTTGCGGGCCCGCGCACGCGGCGGAAGGGAGCTCGACCGGGCAGGGGGGGGGGAGCTCGACCAGATGGGAGGGGGGCTTAACCGGGCCGAAGGCAGCGCGACCCGGTGGGGGTGGGTGGGGTAGGGGGAGCTCGATCGGGCCGGAGGGAGGTCGACCGGGCGGGAGGAGCTCGTACCACAGTGGGCGGCTCATCCGTCTTGTGGTGCAGCCAGCCGAACCACTCGGGCGGCACCATACTGCCGTCGTAGTCGGTGCCCACGGCCGGGGCGTACTCCACCCAGCGGTTGCGGCCTGTCCGCCGGAAACAGAGGACGCGTTACAGATGGCCGGGGGCAGCGGCCACGCAGCGGCCCAACCACCGGCGATCTCAGCCGCAAGTTGTTCTGTTACGCGCGAGTACCGCGTGGCACGACACGCTGTCACACCATCGTAGCCATGACACCGCCGGCAACCCTTCATAACTGCTGCAATTGCGCTGGTTTTCCCGTACGCAGCTTACAGAAGCATGCTAGATAATGAGCGGCGTTGGGCGGAGAACTCGAGCATTCGGCTGTGAACAGCCGCAAGCACTTGCAAACTCATGGCCCGATCGAATATCACCTACCGACAAAGTACATGTCGTTTTCAAAGTACTTGTTGCCGTATTTGTCCGAGCCGACCAGAACTCCCAGCCTCAAATCGTCGAACCTGGAGGTGAGGGCCGTGAATGTCTGCCACATGTGTCCGGTCCGATCACAGCTCCGTAAAACACACGCATCGCTCCGGTCTCGGTACATAATTGGGAACACTAGCACGTGAGCACGACGCCATAGGTTCAGGCTGTAGATGCTCTTGAAGCGAACTTGAAGCGATGCACTTGCAATCACACAGGAAGGTTATGCCTCAAGAAATAGACAAATTGGTAACAGGTGTGTGTGTGTGTGTGTGCGAGGGCCGGTCATCACCGCCACACCGCACAGGTGACGAGCTGGGCACGGGTCCGCACGACGCTGCGCTCTGCAGTACACCATCGCAGCACGGCGGCCTGGTGCGCAGTCTAACCTGGACCAATAATAAGCATAAATACAGCTGCTCTGGTTTGTTGTTGGTTTTCATGTTTGCCTGGTGTCAGCTAACATCCACGGCCCTTGCCAAAAACTAAAAAAATGCAAAGCCAGCTATATCATTAAGTTTCAAAACAATCATCTATATCACATCACAGAAGGCACACTGCCTGACACTTGATCTTATATGTTGATTCAGGTCTTGTGCAAGTATGCATACTTTGCAGAATATATCCATTTGCAGCCCCTCTGGAGCACAGCCAGAAAACAACATGACAAGATGTTTATGTAATACAGCAAATTTCCATAATTTTGGGACTCTATACATTTACCTGAAATGGTTTTCAAACCTCACAAAAACAAAGTTGAAGAGGAAGAAACACACCTATGTGGCAAATCCCTGTTGTTTTTTGGCAGGAAGGGGGAGGCATTTAACCCAAACCCAAGGCAGATTCTGACCATTAGTGAGTCTGAAGATATTTAGTGAGTGAAGAATCAATAATTTCTAAATCATTTATGGCCACCAATTCAAGTTTGAAAAAGAAAACCTGCCATGGAAGAGGACCTAACTGTATCAAAGTTTATAAGGATGCATGTCATTTCCAAGACACAGACAGGCTGCGTCCATTCCTGGCAGCCACATATTAAAAGAAGGTTTACATGATTATTCATTGTTTATGGTTATTGATTGCTTACTCTGATCATAGATGACCTTCACCATACCAGGAAGCAATGGTCAAAACAAAATGTTGGAGATGGCTCAATAAAGATCTATGCAGTGAATTAGGAAATGCTGCAAGCCATTTCAGTGATTTAAAAAAGTAGCTGTAGCTAAAAAGTCAAACATCTATCTCAATCAATGAAATCACAGAAATCTTCCACAACATATTCAGTGAAAGGCTGTGACCTCCTTAAGGCACAAGCTTATGAGCTACCAACAACAGGCCATTATATTACAAGCACAATAATTCACAATGCTGAAAAATCAGAAGCTTCAGGCCTTTCTCGCTTGCAAGCACATCACCAGCTTTGTTTGTTTGGCACTTTCCAATTGGGCAAATTAAAAGAGCTTGCCATAGACATGGCATACAAGCATAACCATTTACATGCAATGTCTATACATTCTGTATCACCCCACTTCTGAAGCACACATGCTTACACTGGGCCACAAAAGTACATACCTGTATAGTTTGTATAAGCTGGATCTTATGCCACCATTTGTTTTGATAATTTGAAAAAGTCTTGCTACTTTATCTAAACCAAGGAGCTTTGCCATAGTTCCACTTGTTATTGAACATACACTTATTGTATTACAATGTCTGAAAAGGCATGGATAAATTACTAGGACACATGATGAAACTACCTTATGAAAAGCTGGTTTCATAAAAAGCAAACAGCTTTTCTTGGCACATATGTTATCTGGTGCAGCAGTTCAAATGAAAGTACAACAAAACAATGATGGTAAAACTAAGATGAGCCCAGAAATACCAAAATACTAAATTCAGCACCCTCTGCTTATATGATGTAATAACATACATGACATAACATTAGCATCTTCAAATGGCTTACATCCAGAAAACATGTGCTACATAAATAGCATGAAGCTGGAGTATGTTACCATTGCATCATAACTGAATGAAATGCACATGTTTTAGATATGCGGAGAGCATGCCACCATATACACAAACAAGCATATTCCACTAAATGCTTTATTTCATTTTTTCTCTCCATTTCTTGCCTGCAACTTGCAATTTTCAATATAACTACAGTATTATAAAGCTCCTTATATGCCAATGTTTGTGATTCCAAGCAGCCAATCATTCTAGTTTACCATGCTCCAATAAAACAGATCTACTTAACTCAACTTACATATAAATCAAGGAAACCTCAACCACTAGTAAAAAATCCACCAATGAAGCAATGGCATTTGTGAATACCACATCCATGGAAATGTTGGAACATCTAGCTGGTTAGTGCTCCAGAAGTTGATTCCCACATATTCTATGCAATGCAAAAGCCAGCATGCAGCAAAAATAAATGTGGTAGGGTGGCATGGACTGGTTTTATCTGTGTAAGACTACCTCAGCCTTGCTTAGTGTGAAATTCACAACTGCCAAATACATCCAATTCATTACTTGCTTTCTCAAACTGACCATTTTCTACTTTCATTGCAAAGAAAACTGAACAGTTCAGCATGCCACCCTGATACCACATGGCATCATCTGACCCAGCCAACTCCTCAGTTACTGGCTGTGATAAATTCTGAGGAAAGTAGAAAATCAGTGCAGCACATGGAGGAACAGTCAAAAAGAAGCAATCCTAATTAGCAGCCCACTGCACATTTAAAAATTGTATCAGCCAGAGGCCACAAGGCAAATTTCATTTTTTAAAATGTTATGGAGGCCCAATGAAATTACCTCCCCTAGTTCAAAGAATTCCAGTGCCTCCGGTGTGACATGAAAGCCATGTCAACGGGGCATAGTCTTATTAACAGAATTGAAAGGCTGAACCATGATCTATTATAAAACCCTAACTCCATCAACAGATTGCTCCCAAAATGTGTCCCAATTTGACCACCTGATGGAAGACGGCGCCAAGGAGGTCCCTTAGTGGACCAAGCACGTATCACCATCACATCCAAAGGAAAAAGGACCACTTACATATCCAGGGGAAACAAACCTGCCAAGCCAGCAACAACGGGCCTTCGGAATCCAAAAATAGCCCTGGAAGTCGGAGGCAGACAACTCTGACGCAGCCGTGACAAATATGGGCGAAGTCATGGAATGGAAGCAGCTGCTAAATAACTTTGGTGGGGCATTTATATTGAGGAACGGCTGGCTCCGCGTCTGTCGTGAACTGAGGGCCATTTCCCAAACAGGGTCTAGACCGGGCCCCACGATTTATATCAATCGAGGCAATCGAGTCAATGATGGCCCCCAGTGTCAGTCAGAGAAACAGTGTCTAACAAGTCTTCTGTTTCAGCCTTGATGAAAGCAAGGAGCCTAGAGTCGGCTAGGGAAGCATTTGCTGAACTCAGACAGGGACTAGACTGCGGATGTCTAAGGGCATCTTGCGTTGGTGGGGGTTCTCTGACAATTCAAGGAGACGTGAGAGCTTAGCCTGAGTTTACAATGATTTGCGGAGAAACCAAACTGTTTGTAACTACATCTAGAGACTGACAGAGTCATTTTCGCTATTCAGTTCCAAACTCACGTTGCGAAATCACGCCTCTGACCATTCTTTAGGTTCATGCTACTGCAATCCACGCTCTAAAAACCGCAACATGCATGGCTGGGAATAGGAGCTGCCATAAGCGTGTAAATAGGCTGAAAAGAAAATGCTAACGAAATATCGTCGAAAAGAAAATCTTAACAGCCTACTCCAAGGGCTTTTTTGGATTTGGGACCCTGTTTGGAAAATTTGTTTCTCTGGGAGAAACAAATCGCAGCCCTCGTGACTGATTTAAATGAAGTATCCCACTTTTTGCACACCTCAGTTATTGTTACATCATGTGCGTACAATTTGCTATGGAAGACCTCTTCTCTAGAAATCCTTCCGAACAGCCTATAATTTATTTTTGAAGCAGCCGACCCTGCTGGTGGAGATCTCATTTGACGCCCTGCTCACCGCTATGAAATTAAACTGATGCGTTCATTCACCTTGCTTTTTCCAACGCGCGTGCTTTGTAATGATTGCGTCACGCTAAGGTGTAAAACGTTTGGATAATAAATGCTGCGAAAGTGTAAAACACTTTTTTAGACAGACCGATATGCGAACATGAAGCTTTTATCCCCCGAATTCCACAAAACGTTATGCTATGGCTTTTATTTCTTCCCTATGGCGTTTAACCACAGTGGCCCTTTTCGAGGCGCACTTTGGCTTCGGGAATGGGAAGAACACATGATCCATGTGACACCAAAGAGACACACGTTTACGGAGCACGATGAACAACGCTAAGGTAACATACCCATAATAGTCTGACCCGCAGCAATGGAGCAGAGTACAACAAAAACCAACTTTGCACATTTGAATGGGGTTTGGAGATATCCATCTGAAAAAAAATTCAGTGCAGTTCACATCCATGCCCTCTAGAAGGCTCAAAACTCTCTTGTTTCTGAGCCTGACGCCTACGAACCTGTGCAGACTATTTTGTCCGGACTGTTTTGAGGTCACCCAGACAATTATTACGACGTACCAACGTCATGCCAATACCGCCAGCTAGTGGGTGATGTAGTGCTAAAGGCCAAGAACAAATATGATCATCGCATTATTCGTGCCCGGCGTATACGCCAAGCACGAATACAAGAAATAAACGTCATGAATGCACGAACACGCTGACGTATGCCAGGTTCTGGCACCATTCATGGCATCAACGATCATCAGTTGACCTTCGACCACTCTGATGCCTTGAGTGCAAGCTGCGAGCACAAATAGCACGTGTTGTGCTATATGATGCGGGGCTGAGTTCCAGCATGGCGGGTGACTTCTCACCCGTAATGAGCGCCCTTGACTTTGCTGCCGAGGAGCATTCCGTAGAACGCACCATCAGCCGAAAGACGGACTATCCGTAACCGCCTCATTCTCCGAATTTCACCCCCTCTATGAATTTATCCATGGAGTGTATGAAATTCCGAGTCTACGGGAAGAATCCTCAGGACCTCAGTGATCTGAAGAATGCCTTTGGGCAGGTAACGCACAGAATCACACATGATGCGTATCGGTTGTAAAACAATGCGCAAAGGTTGTCAGTTAAGTGGCAAGGCGCACAGACCTCTGTCTCCTACCAAAAACGGATCACGTGGAGCACGTGCTAAAAGCATTCCCTGAGTGATGGCAAGGCGCCAACAATGCATGACATGAATCTGCAAGGCTCGGTGAATCTTTTGCATGAATACATTTCGTGTCACAGGCATGAAATAAAATGACTGACATGAATGTATCCCACTCTGAATTACCATTTTTGTGCTGTAGGCATGTGACGCCAGATCATGTTTTTCACCGCGTATGTAAAAATTTACAGCGCTTGCTTCCAGGCACTCATGAAATTTTGTATCGCAGCAGCAACCGAGCTTCAGGATATACCTGCAGATATCATGTCTTCGGCATGAGCCCCTCCCGGAGCCCGGCCGGCGCCCAGCGCACGAGCGACGCCACCGATGCCGTGCGTCTACGCTACGCTGCAGTACTCCGCTCATGTCACGTGCGGTCAAGACCAGCCAGCCGATCCAGTCATTGCACCGGAAACAAATTAATCACTGTCCTGCGTCAGCTGTAGTTGAAAAGAACAATGTTTCGGCTCGCTACCTAAACTGTTCAGCTAAGAGCTGTTTGGTGAGTTCAATGCTTTCAACGTTAGCTCAGAAAAGGTTTAGAGATTCAGCTCCCCACCATTCCTTCTCTTAGGACTGCGGCTTAGTGTTATGCTTGCGCAGTTGTTTCAGGAGATATTTGGACCGGAATACTAAGCTCTGGCCGCGGTCCTTTCGTAGCAGAGCCCATACGGTCCCAGTGCTTCTAGTGGCACTCGATATGCCGCTTATTGTTGACTGTGATAAAAAGCTGCTGCTCGAAATCTGGATATCGAAGGAGGCCTGTTCGGTTTTTGTTTTTGGTGCGACGAAATCCTCGATGCTTATCAGCTGGCTGTTGGTTTTGATGAAAGTATCGTATGCATACCAAAGCACCATCGTGCATGCAAGTGTACGCTTACCTGCGGAGTTTCCTGAGTCCCACTTAGTGCAATTTCATAAAGCCTAATTATGTATGCGGTTCATCCGAAGATTGATTAGACAAAATGTTCGTAAAAATGTTTGAGGATTCTATTTCAGTTTTATTCTTGGAGCCTTCGAATCAACACACGTTCTTTACAGTTCAACAAGAGCTGTCTTATGTCTTATTTCGGTGACGTGCACTTTGCCTAATTCCCGACAAGGCAAATGGGTCCTATGCGCGCTATCGGCGTTGCCCTCGTGCCTGGATCTGCCAAGCTACAGCTCCCATTCACTGAGCAAAATTGGCATCACTGACATGACTATATGCGCCATGGGCTATGCCACATCGCTTCCGTACTGTCACTGCTCGCACAGTACCAGCCAAAGGGAAAAGGCGCCATCTGGCAACAATAACTGTGGCTCTGGAGCGGATAGCCGTACACGTACTACCTTGCATAACCACCGAAAAAGGCGCCCCTCATATGAATGCGGCCGACCAGGAAATCCCAGACGGTCCGGGGTTCTGGGCCGACAGTACCCCTCAAACCACATCGGGCTTCGCGCGGTCGGGCGCTGTGAGGGTCGTCGGAAGACCAGAACCTTTGGCTGGGTCTCACCGATTTGGGGACTTCGCCGACTGCAACAGACAGGCCCTGAGATGGTCAGGTCCAACCTGCGGACAGCACTATCCTACGTGAATATTTTTGTCCTCGGGGTTATTAAAGGGTAGCGGCCCTTTTCAACAGCTTACCTAGACACCCGTCTGAAAGCAGATGCTTACAACTGGCCGTTGATTGTCATACGGCCTGGTGCGTTGAATGCAGCCATGAAAAATATCCACGCCGCAGTGGAATACGTACAAGATATCCACATCCCGTAATGTTACATCCAGTGCACCATTATTAAGATAGCTGACCGATCCTTTCCTGGTAAAAAACAGGCATAAAGCAATGCACAGGTACCCAACCTCAATATTCAATTAGCATGCATCTAGCCGGCTTGCTATGATCATGCCGCTGCTCTCCGCCTGTTAACAATCTCATTCCTTGCTCCACGGGTGGGCCAGGCTTCCATGGGCCGGATCACCCGGTGCGGTTCAGACCGGTCCGATCTGGCGATTACAGGCGCGTCCCGATCTGAAGAGAACAGGGTCACGTGGGGGTTGGGGCGGCCGGCGGGTTCGACCAAGTCAGCGGTCACGAACGGCAGGGCGGTGCTGCGTATTTGGAACGCACATACAAAGTTCCGTGTCCTTGCGCGGACAGCTCCGTCCCCCGGTTGGGTGGTGGGACTGACCGGGCCCCCCACCCAGAAAAAAATACTTAAATTGTCCTCATCCACCTCCCAAATTTATAGAGCGACAGGGGATGGTTCAGACGGAGGGTTAATGGCCGCACGGTAAAACAGCATTTCATCAGCGGTTCACTTTAACTGCTAACGCCAGCTTGTAAATCGGCCCGATCATGAGTCAGTTTGGCGACGGAATGCAATTTGCTTTCCACAGTTTCCTTACACGAAGCACATTGCCTGCCCATCTGTGTTTCAGACAAAATAGACAGGATCCCACCTATTTTTCTACCATCCCATCACCCATCAACCAGCGACCGGGAGTGCCGACCCCCGTCTACCGCGACACACAGAACCTTACTTTATACAAACGTTAGTAACTAAGAAGCTGAAGGCCGCGGCACTCCCAGCTAAGAAATGTGAAACCAACAAAAAATCAAGCAAAGCCAAATTGATTAAGGATTCCCCCATCATTGCTGTCATGAAAACACTTGTTAACAAGATATAATTAAAAGCAGCCAGCTGATAGGGTGAAAACTGGCGGGTCGCTAATACCATTACCCAATTAAACATGGGTAATTGTATTAGTCATTATTCCCATCAATAATTCCCATCGTTTAATTTTCTTCATTAGATGCAGAAAGCCTGCGTGTTTGTCGATGA